CCAGAGCTAAAAGCCCTGACCAGAACTCAGGTGCTCTTTCTGAGATGAATTGTGTCTTCCTTGTTCTTATATCAAAGTTGCTGTGCATCTGGAAGTTACCTGGCACTCAAACCACATACCATCTGGCCAGGACGATCGGCGTGGTTTGTTTTGCCATGGTAGAGCTGTCTTGAGCAATGTTGCATCTTTATGTGCCCATGACTTGTAATCTGGCAGTGTTCAGCACATGGACCTGAAGTCATCTGCTGGCATTCTCCCACAAGATGGAACCTGGAAGCTCATTAGTGCTTGTTTTCCCAGCACCTCCATCTGTCTCCTCAGTTTTCAGTTCCAGTGTGTGGTGGCTACAAACCTACTTCTTCCTGCATTTAACCCTTCCTTCTCCACAGGAAGACTGAAAGGTAGAGAACAGCCCTGGACTAGGAGTCAGAAGCTCTGTGTTCTGAACCCAGCTCTACCACTTACCTACTGTGGGGTTCTGGTCCAGACCCTCATCTCTCTGGGTTCAGTCTCCCTACTCCTAAAACTAGGATCTCTGTTAGCATGGCATCTAATGGCCCTTTTTGTCCAACATTGTGAACGCTCAAGGTGAAAGCTAGTCTTAATGTTGCCATAATCTAGATCTTCTAGAATATAGTCCTTTTAACCACCTCGTGCAACCTCTCTTTCTATCTCTTTCCTCTGTGTGAAACTAGCCAGGAGGGTTTTGTTAGCACAACTTTTTCTTCGGCCTCTCGAACAAAACCACAGAAAGTTCCATGATCCTTCTAGAATAAGCTAAAGCTTGGAAAGATGATTTTATAAAACTGATGCATCTGAAGGCTTTGGTGCTCAGGGGAGTTCATGAAGTGCTTGGGTTGTCTGAAAGATAGACTGCCCCAAAGGAGGAGTATGGAGTTCTGGTCTCTGGCCCTGCCTCTCTCACTAACTCTCTGGATGAACTAGCACCAGCCTGCCATAGGGGCAACATTGAGGAGCACGAGTGATGTGTTTACCACGCTTGAGCCAGGTGATCTCAGGGAACTTTCGTTTCTCTGAACAATGCAAATCCTCACAGAATCAGACTATTCATGATGTAGATTGTCCTCAGAGCTACAATGTTCTGCTCCACTACTGCAGGTGTCTGAAAACCTGAATGCGTGAAGACAGTCTCCTACCTCGGGTAATGTAACATGCCCACAAAGACAGATAGCTGGAGCTGGGACTGACTCCCTGTCCCAAACCTTCCCACTCCCACCAGTAGCAGGTCTGGTAGTGGATGGCTGAGTCTGCATAGCCTGCTGAAATAGGCTAGCTAGACCCTTTTAGACAGATCATCAAATCCACACTGATCATCTATTAGCTTGGTGCAGAAGTAATTGTGGTTTTCGTTATTACTTTTGATGCCAAAAACCAGTTACTTTTGCACCATCCTAACAGGGACACTAGAGCCCAGGGAGGAGAAATCCCAGGATTCTAACTCTCAGCCCATCAACTCAGCTGTGACTTGCAGACAGTTCTCATTTCCCCCACTCTGATGCTGTTCTTCAAACTAAACCTCTCCAGACACCACCCGTTCTCCCTCTGCTCCCAACCTTCAAAATTCCAGGGACATTGCAGGATTTTAGCTGCATGTAATGCCACTATTTATGTCACTTTTTTTTTTCTGTCTTCATAACCAAAAGAGAAAGTTATATCATAGATTCACAGGGTGATGAGAAGACTCAGGCCACGTGGCTGATAACCCATGAAATGTTCATCTAGCTGTTTATAAGAGCCTCATGACCTCCAAAGCAGCCCACCTCTCTTTTGAGCAGGACTGACTTGTCCACTATGTGAGCTGCCAGTGCTATGACTCACAGTGTGACAGAGGTGTTTTGAGTGTAGGTCTTTCCATTGCTCCATCTGAGAAATGGGGATTACAGCCGTGTTAGCCAGTAGCTGAGGGCTTCATCTCCTTCGGCTTCCACCTGGAGGATTAGTGCTTGGGCCCCACGGTGTGCTGACAGCCTCCTCAAGCATTAAAGGACAGAGGCTGTGCCCTCCTCTGGGGTCTTCTCCAAGTTCAACAGCCCATTCCCTCAATAGCTCCTCTAGTGTCCTACTCTTAGCCCCTTTCTGAACAAGCCCTGGCAACATCATTTTTAAAGGGGCTGGCTGTGTTTTTTCCTTTAGCTAGAAACCATCTAAATGATTTTTAAAGAAAAACTAAAATATACCATGCCATTTGACTTCAGGAAATGCAAATATTTCAAAATAAGTTTTTTTTTTCCATCCTCGGGTTTCTCAGAATTACAACTGAGGTCACCCCGCTAAACATTTGAAGACCAAAGGGGAAAAAAACAACAAAAGAACCAGCATATGTAAGAGGCAAGCCTGGGCTTGCACTTCTCCAGCCACCTGTTTACAGAGGCTCAACTGCCGTAAGGGGTAAGGGGCACAGTGTGAGGGGGCATTGGGCCAATGAGCAGAGCCTGTTCTTGATGTTGTATGGCTCTAGCTGGCCTCAGCTCAGGGCTTGAATCTTGTCTTCCCATCTCTGCAAAGCCAGTGGGAGAATGAGGCCCTGTGTTATTCTAGCCCTCAGGCGAAAGTCAAGCCAAGCATCCTCAATCACCTTGCTCTTGCCCTAAGTATTTACTGGGTATCCACAGAGGGAAACAAGAAAGAGGAATGAGATGATTCAATTCAACAAACATTTGCAGAGCATCTGCTAGGCTGGGCAGTGGGGGATATAAAAACAGGAGTCTCTGGCCTGAAGGTTCACGGTCTAATAGAAGAGGCAAATAGGCAGAGTCAGAGAAGGTATCCTGGAGGTGATGACTGCTAGGCTGTTTCAAACGAGGAGTAACTTGCCTGTTGAAGTGGGGAAGTCGAGGTAGAGAGCCCAGCAAGTGCCTAGGTGTAATGATAAATCAACATGCCTAAATGGTATGTTTAGCGGGGACTGCAAATCCCCAAACTCCAGGACAGCAGTCAACAATCCACTTGGGCAGCGGTCAGATAGCCTGAGTTTGAATCTCTACTCCACCCCTACTACCTGTGTGAATGTGAACAAGTCTCTTAACCCTTAAAAGAGTTTGTTTTCTTATGTACAAGATAGAAATAATTGTAGCACCTCTCTCATGGTGTGGTTGTAAGAATTAACAAAGTAATGCATGTAACATGCTCAGCAGAGTACCTGGAAAATGGCTGACTCAACATGCATTAGTTATTATCGTTCATATCATTATCACTGCTCCTCCTCCGATTGTTATTACTATTGGAACATAAAGGGAAAGGGGAGGAGAGAAGGTGAGGGGTGAGACCAGAGAGTTGAATAGGAGTCAGAATGCCAGGCTGAGGAGCTTGGGCCTGATCCTGCAGGCAAAGGGAGTCAGAAAGGGCTTCCATGCAAACAGACTCGGCCAGATCTGTCTCCCTGACTTGATGTTCTACAGCTTAGAGTCAGAGGTTAGGCCAGGGAACTGGCCTCTCTAGCCATAGTCACAGTCCATTAGGAGCAAAAGCAGCCATCAGTGTTAGGGTTCTGACTACACACCCCAAGAGTGTGAGCCATGGGCTGCAACAGGAAGGACCAGAGCACTGGTCAGAGGATGCATGAGGATGAAACCAAGAGAATGACAGCTGACCCACTGGCCCTCCCCACCAAGAGAGCTTCGGACCAGAAGCTCTATTGGATGCAACAGATGAGGAGGAAAACTGCCCCCTGGGTCGGCTGGGGGTGCCTCTCGCAGTGAGCTTGTTCAGACAGCAGAGGGAACTCTTCATTTAACTTTCAACCACTCCAAAGCCCCCATGAAGCTATGAGGTTGACCAGGAGGGACTATCAGGGCTGGGCAGAGATTGCAATGGGAAAGGTTGTGAGCGCAATGGGCACTACTTGGAGATGCAGTGAGCAAACATCCCAGGGTGTGGCCGCTCCATTGAATGGGACTTTGGTTGCCTAGGCTCTGATGGATAGACTGAACGGTCATCTCTGGTGACATCTTTGAAAAGATGTCCACGTCAGGTCAAAGATTGCCTAGTATTACAGCTGGGGAATCCAAGGATCAAAGAAGAGATTTGCTCTGAATAAGCTGAATTCATGAGTCATTGCAGGAAATGTATAACTTGAATCTTTGCATACGGAATATTAAGTAGTTACTGTAATAAGAAAAAGCTAAGCCACCATCACTAGTGAATATATGAAAAATATTTTAATTTCTTAAATACAATAATGACATAATGTTATGTTGCCTCTGCCAAGGAAGCTCCAGATAGTAGGACTTCTGCTAAGATTTATTTAATCCTGTGTCCTCTTAAAATTGAACACAAAGATGTTTCTATCTTCCGTTGTCTAGCAAAATAGCCTAGAACAAGGATCCTGGCCTCTGGAATTAGTCATGGGCAATTCCAGCATTTATGCAAACTTGCCTGACCTTAAGTGATGATATTGACCATCTCTAGGCATCAAAGTTAACCATGCAAGATTAGTCTGAGAACTAGATTAGCTGGTATATTACCCAGCTGTAAAAGTACCCCGTCTAGTTTCTGGTGTGTGGTAGGTAGGATGGCAGTATTTACTATCAGTATTATCATTCTCATTACCACTGCCTGGCAAGGAGACATGAAACAATGTATTTCATCTGCCTGGTCCCTAAGAATTTTTCCCATTTGTGAAAGGGGCTTAATAATACCTCTCTCATAGAGTTGCTGAAAAGATTAAAAAGATGAAATAGGTATAGTGGCAAAAATGGCACCTGACACATTATAGGAATGCGTGTTATATTTGTTTTCTTCCCTGACTCCCACAGTCTTCCATTAAAGCCCAAGTGGAAGCAATCAATAAAAATAAATTTAAAAAATTAAAATCCTAAAACACCTGATGCCAAAATGAGAAATAAAGAGGTTTTCTCTTGATTCTCAAAATGGAAGCAGAATGGTAATTATCTCCATCAAAGGGTCATAGAAAAAGATCTGATATCTCCAGATCCCAGAACAGCAAACAATGTTTTAATGCATTGTCTCCTTATTTTTAGGAAATTGCTCAGAAGACCTCTTATGTATCCTGAAAAGGGCTCCATTCAAGAAGTCATGGGCCTACCTCCAAGGTCAGTAACCAAACCCAGGAAACCTAAACATATGAAAACTACCTCTGTGGCTTTTCAACAACTGCTAAGCCAGGAGTCACAGTTAGAGTTCCAGGGTCAAATGTGACCTGCAGATGTGTACTGTTTAGTAAGCAGGATATATATTTTTTTTTATTTGAATTTGAATGTCGTAGTGGGGAGAGTGTGTTTCTCCAAAGCTACAAGGCTTCTCTTTCCTCAGCCCCATTCACGCTTTTATGTCTCCTACCTGGCCTCTGCGGGTGTTCATGGTCCCCACCACCACTGCCACCACCAGCCCCACCCCTCAGCTCTCCTTATTCAGCTACCTACCAGTTTCAGCAAAGTATACAGTCCTTTTCCTAAAGCAAGGGAGGCAGGCGCTTAATCTTTGCCTCTATGAAGTTATTCACAAGGGATCCACAAAATTGCCTTGTCCCCAGATTGACAGCTTAATGAACATGTCAGCAAAGGCCCAATTTGCATATTGCAGTGTGCTTCAGGTAAGAGGTCCCTTACAAATGAATCACTAAGGGGCACTTTAGACTGCAGAAGAATGAGCTACAGAGATGGCCAAGATTCTCTGAATGGCCATCCTGCTCATTTTAAACATTCAATTTTGCAGTTAGATTAGTTCTCACTCTTCAGTTGAATTGCAACGAGGTTTAAAGGGAAAGCATGGAAGCAATTCAAACCCATGCCAGCTTCCCAGCTCTGAAAGTCACCCTTCACTTCAGAACCCAGTCAGTGCTGATTTTCACATGTTAGGACTCAGAGACTCACCTTCCAGCACAAACCTGTCAGCTTAGAGGGCCTGCTAATTCTCGGCTTTTCAATGAATCCCAGATGGCAAGAGCCCCATAATAGGCACATGAGGGACCTATGTAATTATGTTTGGCTGCCCGTTGAAAGGAGACATTCAAAAATTCAGACAATGAATGGTTAGAGGATACATCTTAATGTGAAAATTAATTGCAATTCTCCTGGACATCATCACACCTAAATCGGTTATTAACTGAATAATATTACTGAATGTCTTACCTTGTACTTTCTGCAATGCCTATCCAACTCAATATTATTGAATTTCCTATCCCTGATACCCTCTGCAATGCCCATTCATGATAAATGAACACGATAGCTCTGACCTTGTAGAGAACAGTCCAGGAGCTTATAATCTGAAAGGGAAAGATCATCACCATCATTATAGAATAATATAATATGATAACGATTCAGTGGAAAACCATCCTATAAGAGGTAGAAGTAAAGTACCATGTGTGTTCTGACCCTCCAGCTTTGAGCATTGGAGAAAAGGAAGAGGGGTGGTTTTATACCTGTGCCTTGAATAATAAGGAGACTCTGGAGGGAGTAACATGGAGGATATTCAGATAATTGAAATGTTACAGAAAACATGGGTCTCGAATGGGGAGCTTTGAATAAAGACTTAGAGTTTTCCAATGTGTACCTACAATCTTCTCAATAATTCTGTTTTTTATACTTTTCTAGTTGCAAAGCATCTAAACCAAACCAAGTTGTCTTGGAACAAAGATGGCGTTGTCCATGGAGTCAGATATCAGGATGGGAATCTGGTGGTCCAGATCCCTGGTTGGTACGTCATCATTTGCCAAATGCAGTTTCTTGTACAATGCCCAAATAATTCTGTTGACCTGAAGCTGGAGCTTATCATCAACAAGCAGATCAAAAAACAAGCCCTGATGACGGTGTGTGAGTCTGGAATCAAAACCAAAAGTGTATACCAGAATCTCTCTCAATTCTTGCTGGATTACCTGCTGGTCAATACCACCATATCAGTCCATGTGGATACATTCCAGTACATAGACACAAGCACCTTTCCTCTTGAGAATGTGTTGTCCATCTTCTTATACAGTAGTTCAGAATGAACAGTTTCTCTTGGCCTTCAGGAAGAAAGTGCCTCTCTACCATACAGTATTTCATCCATCCAAACACTTGGGCAAAAAGAAAACTTTAGACCAAGACAAACTACACAGGGTATTAAATAGTATACTTCTTCTGTCTCTTGGGAAGAGACAGCTCCTGGGTTAAAAAGAGAGTTTTGAGTGAACTATCTTTCAGATAGCAGTCAGGGAAGCAATGTAGTATGGTGGGCAGAGCTCCACATGGGAATCAGAACGGATGAATGGATGTCCCAGCCCAACCACCAATTTACTGTATGGTCTTGATCTATTTCTTCTGTTTTGAGAGCCTCCAGATAAAATGGGGCTCCAGCACCAGAGCAGCTAGCAACCGTGCCCTAATGGGAAATTAAGGGGAGCCGGGTGTGAGTGTTTACAGTGTACCCTTCACAGGATACTTCCTTTATCTGCAGATGGCCTAATGCTTAATTGTCCAACTTGTGATCAAGGACTCTCTCACACAGGAAACTTCTCTATACTGGCAGATACCCTTGTGACTTGTGTCTGAACCGTGCCCAGTTTATTCCTGCCTGGCCGTCACTCTGGCACTAGGAGCCTGACCTTGTGTTCCACACAACCCCGCCCTTAGGAACCTCCAGGGAAAACCATGCCTGGGGCAGTCCCTCGTTCTTGAGATGGAAAGCACAAATTTAAGCACCACCACAATGGAAAACGAGTTCAAAGACTTTTATTCACAGATCCTGGACAGAGAGGACATAATGAGTCTGAAGGGCAGTCATCCTTCTCTGGGTTACATGAGGCAGGAATGAGGAGTCAGACATTGAGAGCAAGCCAGTTAACAACCTAGGTAAATAAATAGGGTGTGATCACTCTCAATTCACTGGCAAATGCCTGAGTGGTCTGTTTGAAGGACGCAACAGAAAACTGGGAAATCCAGTCTGCTAGACAAGAGAGATGCCTCTCAGTTCTTGTCTCTGGCCAGAGGTGTGGCATAGAACTGGAAAACCCTACCAAGGGCGACTAAGCCTGGCATCTGGTCTGAGAACGTTAAACTTGTACACAAAATGGATGCCAAAGCAACATAAAATGATAAGAATTTACCATACCTTCCCCTCCCTGGAACTCAGGATCCAAGTCTAGCAAATGAAAGGACTGGGTTTGAATTGCTTCAAAACCTCTTCCATTTCAGAAGACCAGACGCTTTGAACTGAATTGTATCTGAGATTCCAGATACAATTTTGGAAGCTCTCCAACCAAAATAAGGCCCCCCTACCACAGTAGACCATTGAAGACACTAGTACGCTCTGACTGCACCTCATCTCAGCAGAGCCACAATATGGGGGACAAGGTTCAGGGTGCCTTGCTTAATGGTATGAACTGCAGGATCTAAAGGATGTAATGGAAAGGATTATTTCAGGGTTTTTTCTTTTCTACCATGACCCAAAAGAAGAAATGTCATGTTGCCAACGAGGACTAAGAACAAAACAACTTACTGTTGACCACCTGAATCTAAGAGACCGTCTGGATGTTCGGGAAGCCATCTGATGAGGCCTGACTCTATTCCAATTAGACTGACAATAATTGAGCAGCAGGCATTTTTCATTTCCTGTCAGGAAGGTATTGTGCCTTTAGCAAACAATCAGTGTGTAATAGTGATGTGGTCATCTAGCCAGGGAATGGCTGCTGCATCTCCTGCATAATATATTTCTGCTTCGAACACCTCTCAGAAAACCAGCTCCGTGGAGAATTTTTAAATTCCCACAAAGTTGTTGACAGATAATAATGACCCTGAAAGTGGGGAGGACTTCTGAGAAACAGCAACCTCCTCTCCTGCTTGGGGTAGCCACATGAGATTTCTCTAGCTGTGTCCAACTCGGCATCTGTACATCATCTTTGGAGGAGCACCTTGACAAGCCACTTGAGATGGAATGTAGGCCCTGAGGTTATGCTTCAGTAAGAAAAGATGGAAGCTTCCCCGCTAGACCAAAATATGGAGCAAAATTTGCATTTTTCTCAAGAAGGAGAGAAAAGGAGTAGGAATCCAGCAAAGTTTGTCAGAAAAAAAGCTAGAAAAGATTTAAAAGAAAAAATCAGCAGTGGTGGTATGGATGAGAGGGACCTGGGAGAACAAAAATGGCTAAGGGAAAATTGTAAGTCATCTGCAGAGCAGTATGCCATGTCGACCTTCTCTAAGTCTCCTCTATGACATATTCAGTAAAGTCTCCATTTCTCTTTAAGTCTTTCTGTGAGTAGATTCTTTGGGAGAAGCAGGAATTGGAAAAGGTGTTGAATTCAGCAAGCCAAGTGGTCTGTGGTAAAAACAGCCTTTGAGACTCAAAGCTAAAAAGAAAAAAACAGGGAAACATCTGGCATTTGAGTTACACATTAACTGCATAGGACAAATGAATCTTGCTTAGATCAACTCATGTATTCTTGAAAAGGTATATGCAACCCACTGTGGGTTAACTAAGCAAATTTTCTGCCATCTCAGATTCTAACTCGAGAAAGATTCCATTTTCCTTTTTCACCGACTGTCCTCTGAGCAGAGGTGCCTGACTTTTGCACTGTGAGTGGTTCAGTGTCTGTCAAGCAATGCTCAGAAAGCCAACACCTACAGACGCAAGAGGTACATCATTTAAATGAGTAATGTAACCAAACCAAGAAAATGAAAGAGAATAATCATTAATAACTCAACTGTTAGATACATAGGGAGTGGGCAACCCAGGAAGTTTAAAACTAAATTCTCTTACTCTTGAGGGTTAACCAGCCCCTGGGAATGTTATAAATGAATGATACTATGCTAGTAAAATGATATATATGCAAGTAAAATAAATAATTTATCTAACTGGGAACCCTGGCTACCTAAAACATATGCCTCTTTGGAAAAAACCCAACTTGAGCTCCTTCCCTTCCTCCTACCCTCTGAACCCTGCCTCCCCACCACACACACACACTCTGTGTATTTGCACAACTTTTAGAGGAAGATGATGAGTGAGTCAATGAAAAATAACAAGTCAAGGTAGAGTTGCCCTGACTGAAGTGCAGTAGTGTGATCTTGGCTCACTGCAGCCTCCCCTTCCTGGGTTCAAGTGATCCTCCTACCTCAGCCTCCTGAGTAGCTGGGACTACAGGTAGGCACCACCACACCCAGCTGATTTTTGTATTTTTAGTAAAGACAGGGTTTCACCATGTTGGCCAGGCTGGTCTCGAACTCCTGGCCTCAAGCAATCTGCCCGCCTTGGCCTGTCAAAGTGCTGGGATTATGGGCATGAGCCACCATACCTGGCTCCTAACCCTTTTCAGAATCACATATTGACTATGTATTGAGTCTGTAGAGGATAGAGACCACCTGTGCCTCATGTTCAAATCACCATCCTGGAGTGACGGGGGTGAGGGCAGGGAAGAGCAGAGGAAACCTCTGAATGTGAAAGACTGTCCAACATAAGGCTGGAAAAACATGACCTGAAAAATTGCAGAAAGGCTGCAGGAGGCCCTATCAAGGCTGCTGGGAAATAATGGAGATTGGAGTAGGAAACTGGGTTGAAACTCCAGCTCTCTCACCAACCACACTTGAGGACTTTCCAAGTGTCTGCTCCCTGCTGGGCTTCCACCAATGGGACTTCCATCAGGCCTGGCAGATCTCTCAGGACTGTTCCAGAGACTATATTGGCTGACTTCTCTATCCTCTTAATTGAAGGAGTTTGTCCCTTCTATCCCAGAATAAGAGGTATTCCTGGGATTCTGGGAGGCTCCCTTGTTTGGTAGATTCTGCCAGCTTCCCTCAGTACTTCTTCCCTTTAGTATTTGTCCACATCAAAACCTCTTAGGCCACTGGGCTATTCTCCAAGCTATCCTTATGTGACTGGGGATTTGGGGAATGAATTAGATAGCAGAGTTACAGTAGAGTAACTGCTATATATTTAATTGTTTGAATATACTATAGTTTGTCCATTCTCTTATGCAAGAACATTTAATTTTTGCTATTACACACAAAGCTACAATATAAGCACATCTTCTTGTACAGCTCCCACCCCTAGTTGCCATTTTTCTATACAGCAAAAACACTCTTGGAAAATTATAAATGGTTTCACAAAGATACTTTGTTAACCATGGCTACCAAGGGTTTAGATGGCTCTGTGATCAGAGCTTATGACCTGGAGCTTAGTCTCTGGAATCTGAATGGCTCCTTCCATACTTTCTAAGTACTTCTCTGCTTTGTATATTCATTCAACACACATATCCCAAGTGCCAGTGAGTGCCAGGTCAGTTTACGATCCAACATGGTGTATGCTACAGCTCTCCCAAGCCACTGCAGAATCAGCCCTCATTAGCATGGGTTTGAAACCTGCTTTTCAATGCACTCCGGGGCTTCCCTGGATCTAGCTCTCTTCCTGGAAAGTAAACAAACACCAGAAAGTGTGAAGGACAAGCACAGCTCCAGAAGATTTCTCCCCCAAGATCATATGTTCATATTCCTCATGGGCTTTTCTCGTGGTTCCCTCCTGAAACTCTAATGGAAGATCGCCACTCAATGTCTAGTATAGTGACTTCTCAGGTGTTTTTTTTCCCCCTACCATAACCCAGAAGAAGAAACGTCATGTTGCCAATGAGGTCTAAGAAAAAAAAACAAAACTTACTGTGACCACTTGAATTGATTTTTATGATGCTCTCATAAGTCACAACCCACAGTTTCCAAAACACTGTTCCAGTGTGCCTTCTCCTGCTCCACGTTGGAATGCTAAATATATACTTTCCTTATTCCCTTGCAGCTTGGGTTCTATTTAGCCTGAAATGGACAGAATTTTGGAGTGTTTGTCAATCCACCCAGGAAGCACAGGTTTCTGTTTTTTCTGCAGCTTCATTTGCAGAGGTTTTAATGTCCAGAAGCTAGCTTAGTAGTTGAGGTGAGCCTGGGTGGTTTGGGAGAAGCATCCATTCTGCTGATATAGTCTGTTGCAGATGTACACTGGTTCTGGAGCCCAGCAGCAGCAGCGGCTTCCTGATTGCAGTGGTTTCCTGTTCACGGCAACAGTTCTGTGGTTCTAGAGGGACAAGCTTCCTGATTGCAAGATTATTGGAGAGACAGCAGCTACTATAGCAGCCCAGTTCCTAGGAGTCGCATTATAGGTTGCTCCTGAAAGCTCAGTCTCGATTCTGTTTCCTCAGCCCTCCTGACAATTCTACAAGCCATTTATTACCCTGCGATAAACCCCTTCCTGCCAAACAAGCTAAAGTGAAGTCTGTTCTCTGCAACTGATTCCTCATGAATATAATAACAACATGTACAAACTGACCTCACCAATGTTTACAAACCAGCCCGCCATACTCACCCTGAACTTAACACTATTCCTACATTCCAAATCTCAAGGACTATCGCAGTCTCTGAAGATCCTTCTCACTTCCTACTCAATTCACATCCAGTTCCTCCAGTTTCCTGGTTTCAGTATCCTAGTGCCACCATTGGCACTACTCTGAATACCTCCTAACTCACAGCATTGCCTCCAATCTTACAAATCCCATCTCCAGACAGCAATAGTATCTCCCCATTGTTCTTGGAAGTGATAGTGATAATGACCATTTACCAAGCTCTTAAGTGTTACATACTTTTCCTGCACTCACTTATTTAATCTTCAAAGCGACCCAATGAAATAGGCATCATTATCTCCATTCTTCAGATAAAGACGTTGAGAGTCTGAGACATCGAGTAGCACGGCCAATGTCACACAGCCAGTGGATGGTAGAGTTGGGATTCAAGACCCATTTTGTCTAACTCCACATGCCATGCTCCAGTCACTACAAACATAGCCTTCCAAAACTCTAAGCTCTTTCCACCAGTTCTCTCCCTATCTGCTGAATGTCTCTCTAGTTTTGTGCTCAGCCCCACCTCCTTGTGCTCTACGCTCAAATCACATTGCACTCTTTCCAGTTCCTCCAATCTTTCGTGCTCTGCCTAGCCACCAGGTGCTTGCAGATAATTTTTCTTCTGCCTAGGATTCTCCTGTCATACTCTTTTGCCTGATTAACTCCTCTCATTGTTCTAATTTCCATTTCAGTGTCACCTCTTCAGAGAAGTCTTGCTGACTCTGCTGGCTTCACATAAGGCCTTGCTGTCTCCTTCTACACCTCCCCCATCCTTAATTGCATGACACCTCACCCTCCCCCCCTCATTCTCTCTATCTCCAACATTAAAACTCCCAGAAGGCAGGAACCTTATCAATCTTATTCAGCACTGGGTGCTCAAAGCCCAGCCCAATTCCTGGGACATAGTAGATGGCCATTCAATAAATATTTCTTAAATGAATAATCAAAGAAAACCACTTTAAATATGAGTTCATTTTAAGGAAAAGGTATCAAATAAGCCACACCCAAAAAAAAGAAAAAAGAAAAACAGTTCTTTTCAAAATACGGAAATATGAATTGAAAGCCTCTATTTTTCTTAGAAATAATTTTTAGCACTCAGGAAATAAGAGTGCCTATTAGAGAAAGTTGAAATTTTTAGAAAGCAGAATCTACGTGTATCTGAAAACATGGAAGGGAAAAAAAACAAATCTTCACTTACTTCATTGAACCGCCTTTCTGAGCAAGGGTGGTATATTTGCTGTACAATCCATTGCCCTTCCTGCTGCCGAGATATCTATGTGCTATTCCAGTCATTTTGTGATTAGAAATAAACAGAGTAATCTTAGAAAGTTTTTTGTCATTGTGTTGTGTTTTGTTTTGAGACAGAGTCTAACTCTGTCACCCAGGCTGGAGTACAGTGGTATGATCTTAGCTCACTGCAACCTCTGCCCCCCAGGTTCAAGCAATTCTTCTTTCTCAGCCTCCCAAGTAGCTGGGACTACAGGCGGGTACAATTATGCCTGGCTAATTTTTATATTTTTTAGTAGATACAGGTTTTCACCATATTGGCCAGGATGGTCTCAAACCCCTGACCTCATTGATTTGCCCGCCTCAGCCTCTCAAAGTGCTGTGATTATAGATGTGAGTCACCACGCCGGCATTTTTTAAAGCTTTTTAAGTTTTATTTTATTTTTGATTGATATAAATCTTGTGTGCATATTTAGGTAGCGCAATGTGATATTTCAATACATGTATACATTGTGCAATAATAAATATATCCCTTTAATGAACATATCTCTTACTTCAACCAGCTATTTCTTTGAAGTAAGAACATTCAAAATCCTCTCTTCTAGATATTTTGAAATACACTAGAAAGTTTAGACCAAACCTGCGTATATCTTAGAAACCTGAAATTCCAGGCCACTTCCTATTAGCAATTAAATTAGAATCTCTGGATTTAGAACCCAGGCATCAGGATTATTCTAAGCTCCCAAACTTAAGCCAAGTATAAGAGTCAGTGGTTTAAATCTTTGCTGTCCTGGTGTTACGTCCTGGTGTCTGGCATCACCAGAGAGTTTGTTACAAATGCAGGCATCTCATACATACCTAAAAACTGGAACATAATCTGCAATCTAATATGACCCAAGAGATTCATGTGCACCTTACAGTCTGAAGAACACTAGTTAGATGACTTTTTTTAAGTGGAGAAGACTGCTGATAATGCATTACATTTCTCTGTTTTTCCCAAGTGGACTTTCGTGAATGGACATTGTCTTCCTTGTCTGCTGCTTAAGCAACTGTGAGGGTCTAAACATTGCAAAAGCATCAAGTCAACATGATGGTCTTCATTTGTAATGATTGCCACTGAATTTTTCTTTTTTCCTTTTTTTTTTTTTTTTTTTTTTGAGACAGACTCTCTATCGCCCAGGCTGAAGTGCAGTGGCACAATCTCGGCTCACTGCAACCTTCGCCTCCCAGGTTCAAGCAATTCTCTGCCTCAGTCTCCCAAGTAGCTGGGATTACAGGCACCTACCACCATGCCTGGCTAATATTTGTTTTGTTTTTTTAGTAGAGACAAGGTTTCACCATCTTGGCCAGGCTGGTCTTGAACTCCTGACCTCATGATCCACTTGCCTTGGCCTCCCAAAGTGCTGGGATTACAGGCATGAGCCACGGCATCTGGCCACAACTGAATTTTTACCAGCTGCTTTTGGTCCAACTCTCTCCCTTGGGATTCTTGGGCAAGCAGTGGGAAGAATCTGGACAATATGTTGAAAGCTTTGGATGCAGTTTAGAAACTTCTATGGGGACTATACTTTCCCTATATAGCCAAGGAAAGAGAAAAAACAAATCTCAGGGTAGCAGACGGGAAAGAAGGGTGGCCTTGGCAGTTGGAAATGAGTTTGAATCTGAGTTCAAGCAATTACTAACTCTATGACCTTGGCAAGTCACAGGGACTTTCTAAACTTAAAATTCCTCAGCTCTACAATGGGATGAACAATCCTTCCCAAAGCTATTGGGAGAACAAACACGTAGAATAAGCTTGGAAAGCATACAACTCTTGGGGTATTTTATCATAGTCAGCACCTGTGAAAGAGTTTGACCTTGGGGAAAGGAGTAGGAAAAAAATGAATCAATGCAAGTTTGAGAGAAATGAAAGTTCCTTAAACTCACTGAAGCCTGTGCTCATCTGCATTCAGAAAAACCAGCCATTGGATCAACAAAGGTCTCTGTGAGTCCAGCTCTCAAAGGATGCTTTCATCTTGCAGGGAAAACTGGACTAGATAACCAACTATTTGAGAGATACAGTATCAGGATCCTTTCCCTGTGCCTCTCTAGAAGCAGCACAGATAGCGCTGGAAATAAATACTTTTCCCACTTAGAAATGATCACTTGGAAGGCAAGAAGAATCCATCTCCAAATCCCAGCAGCCAGATCGGTGTCCTGCACAAAGTCAGCACTCAAGAAATGTTTAGATTTCAGTTGCAACAGGAAGAGGGAATTACCAGGCAGGGATATCAGCTAAACTAGTCAAGAACATGATGATTTGAAAGCTGATCCTCCTTCACAACCAGAAGGCTCCAAGCAAAAACCAGCTGAAGTATTTCATCATCTCATTTCCATTGCTAGGGACGTAGATGACCTAACCTCCGTGACATTCTGACTATGCTTTCCGTTCTCATGAGTCTCATTTTACCAGCTGGCCTGAAGCAGTCAGCATATGGCATGGTAGTCAAGGGAAGAAAGGCCACAGTCTTGACAGGATCAGTACAATGGGATGAGGAAACAGCAAGAAACACTGAAGTAAGCTACATTTCTACCACCAATGTTACATTCCTACACTCACACAGTCCTCAATTGTATCTGGTCTTTTCATGCTCCTCCTTCATTACTATGATGTGTTTACTTAAACCACTTTACAGTACCTAAACAGATAGAACTGCTAATACTTGCTGAATGTTGGCTTACCAGGTTTCAAACATGAAAGCCTTCAAACACTATAGTCTACTTCATCCTCACCCTGATGAGATAGAGATGACCATTCGCATGTTACAGATGAGGGAGCAGAGCCTGGAAGAAATGCTAAGTATGTCCAAGTTTCAGCAGCTCATCAGCTGAAGAGCTAAGACGTAACCACTGCAGTCTGGCTCCAGAGATATATTTCTGACCACACTACACTGCACTTCCCTGAGGCTACTTGACACGGTCCCTGCTGATTCCTTTGTCCACAAGATCCTTGCCCTTCTTTCCCAGCTAGTTAATTTGACCTCATTCATAAAATCTCAATTCAGACATTATTGCTCAAGAACCATACCCAGGCTAAATTAGGCATCCAACCTGGGCCTTCATATCCTCACTTCTGCCTAAAAATTTCCCACGCTGACTATGATGGTATGATTGTATGTTTGCCTCCCTACTAGACTGTGAGCTTCTAAGTAAAAACAATATCTAAGGGTATTATACCCCTCCTGCTGGTATCTACAAAGTAAAGTTATTCTTGCTTCCAGGTTTTTGTGGCATGATCCTCCACCATTCCCACCATACCCTAGACTCTGGGAAGGGGAGCTTCTGACTTGTGACTCCACAATCCTGAACCATAATGCTGGCTGCTCCAGAAATGAACTGCTTCTACCCTGGGTCACTGTCACTGCTAAGAGGAAAGTCATGAACTTGACGGTACCAGTCACTCTAACCTTAAACCCACGTAGCCAAGAAACAGTTCACTCCCCCAAAACAGAATCATCTGGACCTGCCCATGATTTGGAATCTTGGCCCAACACTTCCTGGGCCAGAGAGAAAAAGAAGTCTGACCACCCCCTACCCAAAGTGCCAACTCATTTCTTTCCCAGAATTAATCACTTCCCAAAATGTATGACTGTGTGAACATCAATTCCTTTCAGGGGAAAACCCCACTCCCACCTCTCAGGCTGTCATCTTACCCTATGACCCCAACCTGACAATCATGCAACAGCCCAGTATTGGTACCTTTTTCAAAATTTAGGTGACTCATTCTTATCTACAATCGCTTTGTTGTTGTTCTAGGAAAGTTTTTGACATAGCAGGCATTTGATACCTATTTCTTGATTAAATGAAAGATTAAATGAATACCATCTTAGATGGCTGCATAGTACTTTAACATTTACACACTATTCTTTCAAATAGCACAAGAGAAAACTAAGCTGGGCACTCAACTGAAAAGAAGAACTGAGAGTGGGAGCCCCTGGTATTCTGATTTCTTGTCTAGAATTATACTGTATTCTGAGATCATTGAACTACAACCTCAGGGGACTCTGCCTACTTTTGAAAATAAAGTTTTATTGGAACACAGCCACATTCATTCACTTACGTACAGTCTATGACTGGTTTTATGCTATGGTGGCAGAGTTGAGTAGCTGCCCCAGAATCCGGGAGCTGTTTACAGAAAATGTCTGATGAACCTGCTATATATTGCTGGGGACTCCAGGTATATTTAGATTTAAACACTTACAACACACACTCACGCACATATACATCATAAATTCTCCCACAAAGAGAACCATATGATCACTGTCTGTATCTGAACTTTTCAATATTGTCAGCTGTGAGACGGGAGTACCAACGTTGGTGGAATCACGTATAGAACGTGCCTCTGCTGAGTAAGAGGTTCTTTGGGCCAATGCATGATTTTTGACCATGGACTTGATAATATCTATCCTATCAATATGAAGAAGTAGTAAACTTAAAAAAGAAAATGCCTCAGAGGCACATTCACCAAAAGCAGTGAGAAAGGAATAGCTTCCACAAAGACTGTGTTTTAAAATAAGGTTAGAGATGTGAGATTTTTTTTTTCTTTACAACCAGTAAACCAGACACATGTGAGGATTTGAATGTCTTCATAATAATGAAAAATTTTTAATCAAAAAGTGTCTTTCTAAAATATAGAGTCAGAATGTACTGTTTCAGGAAAACTATTTGCTCTTAGATGTTTTTCCACAATAAACCACCCAAGAGAGTTTAGAATAGACCAGACGGTGACTTAGAAGAATTTGAGGCCGGTGGCTTGCACCTGTAATCCTAGCATTTTGGGAAGCTGAGGTGGGTGGATCACTTGAGGTCAGGAGTTTGAGATCGACCTGACAAACATGGTGAAACCCCATCTCTACTTAAAAAATACAAAATTAGCCAGGCATGGTGGTGCATGCCTGTAATCCCAGCTACTTGGGAGGCTGAGGGAGGAGAATCACTTGAACCCAGGAAGCAGAGATTGCAGTGAGCCTAGATTGCACCACGGCACTCCAGCCTGGGCAACAAGAGTGAAACTCCATCTCAAAAAAAAGAAGGATATGAAAAAAGAGAACTTAAGTGAATT